GGCGGCCGCGGCGCCCCGACGGCAGCGAGCGGCGCGGCTCTGCTCGGCGGCGCGGCTCCGAGCATCTGTCGGGATACTCCCATCATGCCCCGCGACAGGCAGCGTGACATCACGGCGGGCTGGACCGGGCTGGGACACCTGCACTGCACAAAGGGGCAGGTGCAGGGGAGGAGGGAGCCTCCCCGCCCCCACCCCCCCAGCTCCTCGGACATGGGCATTTGCCCCAGCGGCGGGGGAGATCTGCCTCAGCAGAGCAGGGCAGGGGGGCTCTCTCCCTCCCCTGTTGACGACCTCCAAAGTGGGCAGGGAGATGTCCATGAGCCATGCTGTGCCGTAGGGGAGGGGGAACCGGGCCTGGAAATTTTGCAATGATTTTTTGGGGGAGGGTGAAGTTTTTTGCAAGGAAGCGGCTCCGTTTGCATGGTAACACTGCGCTATTTAGCTAATTTCCCCCCAAAGAATGTTAAAAAGGTCCACGATGAAATGGGGAGTGGGTTAATAGTTCATACGCTACGTGCACCTCGCTTTGTGAAATTGGGTACGTACGCCTCACTTCTTGAAATTGGTATGTATGCCTCGCTTCCTAAAATCGGGTATGTACACCTCACTTCATGAATACAGGTACATACGCCTCGGTTCATGATATCGGGTACATACACCTTGCTTCTTGACATCGAAAATGTCCGACTTGCGTATAGGTCATCAGAGGGGCCCCGAATGATTCTTTTGAGCAGGACCCCAACAGCCCTAAGGATGTGCCCGTCAAAGCCAGAAACTCCGGTTTTGAATCGGTCCCTTCCCACCGGTTTTGAATCGGTCCCTTCCGACTCTACAGTTTATTAATCTACGAAAAGCAGAGCTCATACAAAATTAAAACTTTTGTCGTAACATTTATTACCAAGCAAGAAGCAGAAAGTATAAATTTGTCTACAGAAAAGGAATGCTTCATAGAAATGTACTCAGTGGTTTCCACAAAACCATATAAAATACTATAAGGAAAATGAAACAATAGAAAATACTCAAGTTTAAGTATATTTCTTCTTTCTAGGTCCTCCACAGCAGGTCTTTGGCTCAGTCACCTACAGAAAAACACGAATTTCATGTTTTTGCCCTAAGGCCACCGCTGCCCATGCTGCCGGGAAGAAGTCAGGGCTGCTGGGCACTTTCCATAGCAGGGCCTGGGGGAGGCAGAGGGGTCATTATTGCTCTGGAGAAATGGGTTCTAGCTCTGCCTCTATCCTAGAGTCCATATGTGAAGCTGGGCACCTTTACACAGGTGCTCAGGCCTATAGGCACCCAGGCTGAGGTATTGGGATTGTAGTACCCAGCCATCCCAGCCCCTGGCAGCAATGGGCTCTGCACCCAGACTAAACAACATTACAGTAAATGTGAGGAAAGTTCAAATCCTAAGCGTCTTGAAGTGGGCCCTTAAAATGACAAGGCTGCTTTTGAGCTTCATCTGTCAGGACCTCAGTTCCCATCTGTAAAATGGAGAAAATCATTCCTGCCACTTCATACAGATGTTGTGAATTTAAATTCATTAGGGTTTGCAAAGCACTTAGCAAAGCACTCCAGTGAGAAGAACCATAGAAAAGCCCATGAGGAAATTAATAGCTCTGTATTCAGTAGAGGGTTTGAATAATGTGCAGTAAATAGGCCACAGGAGCAAACATTGAACAGTGAGGCAAAAAAAAATCCACTGGGAGTAGCTGCTCACTCAGCAAGCACTGTCCTTTTGTTTGCATTGAATCAGGCAAGGGTCCTGTGGAGCAAAAAGTAGGTGGCTATATAATTAAGCATGATTAGATGGCTGTATGGGCATTGTCAGATCTGGCTGAGACATTTCCTTATTTTGGGGTGCTTGACTTTGAAACCTGAATTTTCCTTTAATATATGTTTTACAGTGTGTGTGTGTGTGTGTGTGTGTGTGTGTGTGTGTGTGTGTGTATGTATTTGGGATTGGGATAAATTTCTTGATTTGCATGGTACTCTATCAAAAGAGAGAGTAGTCAAGAAGTGAGTCAAGAAGCTCCTTCCAATCCGAAGAGATAGACCACACCTTTGTACATTCTTCATGTCACAGAGTTTCCAGAGACACACTCACCTGCTCCTGAATGTTTTAACAAACCTGAGGACCTGGGAGCCCTAAAGCCTGTAAAAAGACTAAGTGTAGCATTTCCCATGTGTAAAAATGTCACAGTGCTAGGTCCAATGTCTTGTCTCTTCCAAGGTTAGACATGAGTGCTGGATACTGTTCCAGAGTTAGGAATCTTCCCTTCCAGTAAAGGAAAAATATGCCCTATATATCTTATTTCTAGCCTAGCAAAGAGATGAGATAAGTTTGAAAGCTTTTCACCAAAAAAAACTGTGGTAGGCTGTGGTATGGTTCCTGTACAATTGAATTTATGATAATTAAGTCGCCTAGCTTTATCAGCAAAGAAATGGGGGTGTGAACTACATGTCATGGCAGTATTCACATTACTATTAAATGTGATCCTATTAAAAGCAACAACAGTCTTTGTGGTATAAAAAGTGTTTACCTTAGAGAATAAAGCGTTTCTGTGGGTTATTAACTAGTGACCTGTCATGCAGTTCACTTTGCTGGAGAGAGCACTGGACTAGGCCTCAGATAACTTAGGTTCTCTTCATAGCTTGCCCCTGGCCTGTATGGGCAAGTCATGTTGTTCTTCTGTACTTCAGGTTTTCCATTTATAATGCAGAACTGAATGGATAAATATACAGACCCACCTGAACAAAATGCTTTGAGATGTATGGGTAAAAGCTGCATAAGATTTAGGTACTATTATTATTACAAGTAGGTCTAAAGAACAATCTCTGTATTTAAACAAATGATCGTCCTGTCCACTAGCAAAATCTCCTAGATTGGTGTAGAACCCTGCAGATCCTTACCAGTGTAAACTCTGCTTTTAATTGTAACCATACATTCTTCCCAGACTGATCATCTCCAGCCAAGGAAATGTACAGGGTTCCCTAGAGGTTATAAAATATTGTCCAGTAGGGATCACTTGATTAATTCTTGGATCCTCTCTCTGTAATGCCTGAGACCATTACTTCTGCATTTACTTTCATTCCTGCCAAACCAAGAGGCAAGAGTCTGGGAATACATCCTAGGTATTTTGCATGGCAGCTGACAGAACTGCCTTTAGGCCACCTTGTTATTTCTGAATGAGCTGTCATCATATCTGTGGTGGGGAGGCTGGAAATAATAATTGTATTCAATTCTTTAAACAGAGAGCACAGAATATTGCTTTTATTTTGCAAAATATATAAGGTTTAATTGTATGAAACCTCTAAGTTAGCCTCATATTAATAGCAATGATGAATAATGCATACATTTGTACCTCTATTTGGATCACCTTAAAGAAGGTTCTGCAGTCTTTCTGTTTGGCATGGTTGGAGTGCTATGGAAGGATCTGAGCTGAGTTTCATGCAAACTCCCATCACGCTGAGGGCTCAGTACGGCTAGTAACTGCGTGCATCTACACAAGATGCCTTAATGCACAATAGAATTAATCTACTGCGCATTAAGTGTCACAAAAAAAAAGTTTGCCTTTGCTACTGCACATTAGCACAGCTACTGCACCTTTATCTAGTACTTCATCCAGGTACTAAACTTAATGTGCGGTAGCAAAGGTACATTAATGAACACATAGACGCACCCACTGAGCACTTCATTGAAGTAGATGGGATTTGATGGAGACCAGTACCCACCAAGAGACCTTGAACAACAGGACCCCATAAGCATCCCTTACAGGGAAAATCTCACCCCTCTTGTGGGTGACAAGCACTTGAAAATCTGGCCCTGTATTACATCTTCTTTGGCAGCCTCATAGTGTTATATATTCCTACACATAACATTTGCAGCATCAGAGCCTTTATCTGCCTTAGAGTTATTCCAGCCTGAATGCCCTTTTATTTCCTGGTTATGATTCTAACCCTTTTAGTTCCCCAGGTATTATTTCTTTCTCTCCATCAATTTAGTAGAATGAACTGATGCTATATTTTTTCTTTGTTGATTTCCAACCTGTATTTCTCTAATCAAACAAATGTGGTATTTAATGGATCAGTTCAACATGAGTTGTCTCCAGTTCAAAGAAAATGGCATTTTATTTTTCTCTAACCAGGATTCATAAGTTGAGGAACCTTATTATTAACAATGAAATGCCATGTAAAAAATACTAATGAATAAGCAATATTTATTTAGGTTTATGCACATTACACCCTAAAAACACCCCAAAAAACAATGTGCTTTGGACTGTCTTAAAGTTATTTCAAATACAATAAAATTAACCCCCAAAGGTAAATAAAGTGTAGCTGTACAGTTCTATTAATTTTCCTTCTGTTCAGTAGATACAGTAGAACAGAAACCAATATCTATGGTATGTTCCATTTAAAAATATGCATTAATAATTGAAGTCTGAAGATGTTTCTTCGAAGGCAAGGGAGGAAGAAAAGAAATAAATCATGTTGGATCTATTTCTCTTGAGGTAGCAGAATGTTAAAAACTCTCATTACTCAGCAGCCCATTTGTGGTCTCTGATCATTCTATCGTTTGGAAAAATCAACTCCATATTTTGAATAATAATATCAACTTTGAAGTTGAAATTGTTTTGATGACCAAAGGAAATGATATCTCTGCTCAGAGCAATGGTTTAGATGTATAGCAACAAAA